ATATGGTTTTTGTCCTTGACTCTGTTAATATAGCATATTACATTTATTGATTTATGAATATTGAACCATTCTTGCATCCCTGGGATAAATCCGACTTGGTCAGGGTGTATGATATTGATGACCTAGGTTGTCTTAATGTTTACACCATAATTGTGGATTTCTTCCATAGGGTACAGGGTGGTGTATAAATGGTTCTTATGGTGTGTTAATATCCAATTTGTAGCCACATACAGTGTCTCTTGCCTGGTAGTCCCAGAACTCAGGAGGCTGAGGGAGGAGGATCGCCACGTGTGCAAGGACAGCCTGGAATACATAGTGAGTTCAAGGCAACCTGAACTACATAACAAAACGCTGTCTTAAAAAAAGAAACAAAAAACTCCAATTTATAATCCTAGCACTAGGGAGGCTGAGGCAGGAGAACCGCTGCAAGTTCCAGGCCAACCTGCTTATATAGTGTGTTCAAAGCCAGACTGAACTACATAGTAAGACTTTATCCCCCCCCCCCAAAAAAAAATTTTTTAAAGCAATAAGGTCAACTATATGGGGCTGGGGATTTAGCTCAGTGGTGCCACAGCCTGCCTCGCAAGCGCAAGGTCCCGAGTTCGATCCCCAGTACAAAAAACAAAAACAAAAATAAAACAAAAAACTTGAGTTTACTATGGGTACTGATATGGAAAAATGTCTACAGTATCTATGAGAAAGAAAAGCAAGTTGCAAAACAGTATGCAGAACCTCATTTGTGTGTGAAAAATTAGGTACACACAACTGTATACATATAGAAAGTTTTCAAAACTGTTAATAGTCGTTACCTACTGGAGAGTAGAACTGAGAAAATTACGAGATGTGGAGAAGAAAACTTACCTTGCTTTTTACGTCTTATTTTACTGTTTTAGTTGGGGTTTTTTTGTTTTTTAAACCAATGAGGATATGCAAACATAATGTGCACTACAAGCAATATGAAAAACATCATAAAGTCCAATGAAGTAAATACTTTATCACTTAGGTTCCTATTAAAGAAATTTGCTTTTCACTCTTTGTGTTTATTTTATTTCTCTCTCTCTCTCTCTCTCTCTCTCTCTCTCTCTCTCTCTCTCTCTCCTCTCTCTTAGTTTTTTGAGACAGGCTGTGTGGCTATGTAGTTGTAATTAATGTGTGCAATGAAATAAAGAAGTCCTGATTTTTTTTTCCCTCAGGTGCTAGGGATCTAACTCAGGACCTTATACCTCACCTACTAGGCAAACCTAACACTGAGCTACACCAGCTTTTTGCTTGTTTGTAGAATGGTTCTCGTTATGTTGCACAGGCTGGCCCTGAACTCCTGGACTCCAGTATTCCTCCTGATTAAATGTTCAAATGTCATATGCGCACACACATATTTTCACTTGCGCATGGTAATTACTGAAAGTAATGCTTAACTTTTAAATGTTATTTGGTTGAAGTATTCAGGGATACTTCTCAAATTAACATTTACTACATTCAATATACCTGATTCATACAAAGAAAATTAAAAATAGCCTATCATTTGAGCAGTGTGACCTTAGTTAAATCAGGTGGCTGCTTTGAGGCTCAGTTTCCTTCTCTGCGAAAGAGTTTAATCTCTCGGGCTTGCTGTCTGCGGAGGACATCTACGCGCTGGTTATAGTGGAAGGGCAATGCCTGGCACAAGGAAGCTAGTCGCGTGGCACGGCTGGGCGCCCGCCGGAGAAACCAGTTCCCTCCCTGTGGACAGTTTTTTCACACCAGCATTTCCGCCCGCCAATTTCCCTTTCTGGGCGTGCAGCAGCCAGTGCCCGCCAGCTCCTCCAGCGGCCTCCATTGGGTGCCAACTCCCGCGCGGCACTAGTTTTGTGGGTCAGGCCTAAACTGAGGCCACCTTACGCGGCAGAACTCAAGTCCACTCCCGGCCCCCATCTGTCCTGGACTGACTTGACTCGGTACAGGAGACCGCCTCGCCTCCAACTGCGGCTGTTTGAATTCTGGCGCCACTCCTGCGCCACGTAGGGTCGGCTAGCCTGCCAGACTACCAAAACGGCACAGCTCGCCTACGGGCGCGCGCTACAGAGAAGAACGGGCACGCGGCGGGCGGGCGGTGCGCGCACCACGCCCCGGGACGGCCCCCGAAGAAAAGAGACGCCGTGCGCGCTTCCGCTCCTTCCCCTCGGGAAACTGCCACGCCCCCATCCTCTCCCCCGTCCAATAGGGGAGAGAGGGCGGGGCGACCTCGCTCTGACTCGGGAGAGGCTATATAGGGAGCTGCAAGTGGCGAGGTTCTTTCTTTTACGTCAGGAACTGGAGCTGGTTTCTCTTGGCTACGTGAGTGTGTTTTTATGGGACTGGAATCCGAAAAGAAAATGGTGGCACTGGAGGAACTTCCACCCTCAGTGCTGTGATCGTGGGGATTTGAGCCCGAAATGCTGTTGCAGAGGTTGCCCTGGGAATCCTTTAGGGGACAGGCGTGTTTTGAGCTCCGGCGGGGGGGGGGGGGGGGGGGCAGGCTTGGGGCGCCGTTTATGGCCGGCGGCGCTGAAGTTGGCTGGAGGCGGGAAAGCTATACTTAGGGATTTGGCGTGGGAGGTTACTTAAAGAACGACAAGCATTTGCTAACACGGAAAATGACATTTTGCTGTCGCCAGGTTATTTCAACAGGGTCACCCCTGACCCTGTGGGATTCGGAACTGATTTGTTCTTAGACGACGTTGTGTGCAATTCGGATTAACAAATGGGAGGGGATTAGTGCTGAAAAACTTGAAACGTTTTCTCGCATTCTGTAATGTTTAATTTCAAACGATCGCTTCCCCGCAGGGGCAATGTCACCGTTTTTCAGAGGTATATCGGAGTGTTTACGTGCACATGCCAAGGTAAAAACTATTAAACTGAGCTTTTCAAATTGAGGGGGTAAACGTCCTTCGTGGGAATAAAAAATAGTGCATCATTTAAAATTTGCTTCTTTTTACTAGTTGCATGAGAAAATTCCAGACCATCTACCAGAATCTTTAATGGAAAAATACTTGCTCAAAACTTGACAGTCAAACCAGGTAAGTATTGGACTCTCCATTATGATTAAGCATATATATGTTCAAGCTGAATGTAAACAAAATGAAATTTTTGTCATTCAATAGTGTCATCAGTGTTGATAATTGATACTGAAGCTATAGAGATCACTGGCCGGCTATTTCATTTTAAAGTAAGTTGTGTGGTTTAAAACGGTACTTCTAATGCATTACTTTTTGTGGTGCTGGTGATGGAACCCAGGGTGTAAGACATGATGATTGGTCTATTCAATGATGAAACTTATCCCGAAGCTGATTTCCTGAAGAAAATCATGCACGGATTCGGCTTCTGAGATGTGACCAAGATTTGTAAACAAAATAATAAACTTAGATATTTATGATAGATCTGTTTATAATAACTCAAAATGCTTAATCTTTTTCAGTCAGTAATAAGCGTTACAATATGCCCAGAAGCCATCTCACTAGGAAGTGCCTAAGGTGGATCAGTTTCTGTGAGTAGATTTTCTTTGCCTAGTAATTACCAGATATTGTGTCCTTGGTCTTATCTATGATGATCCTATCCCGAATCTGAATTTCTGTTGAAAAAAATAACATTTACGGATCTGGCTTCTGAGATGGACCAGTATAAGGACAAAATTTTTTTTCGAGTACTGTTTAAATAAGTTGTAGCCAAGTCTGGTGGTACATGCCTGTAATCCCAGCACTCAGGAGCCTAAGGCAGGAGGAACACCGTGAGTTTGAGGCCAGCCTGGGCTACATAGCTCAAGGCAAACCTGCACTACAAAGTGAGACCTTGTCTCAAAAAAAATAACAAGTTGTAATGTTTGTGTAATTTTTTTGTTTTTTCTTTTCTAGGGCTGAATACCGTAATGGCTTTTCCTGTCGTATGAAAGACTGATGGAAACAACCAAAAAGGCACACATCAAGACCACTTTGAAAGTTGGGATTGTGTTAGTTTTTCTTTTGCTTGGTATTGGAGATCTGTCAGGCAAACAGTTCAGTGGTACCTGGTAAAATAGCCTGTGTTGCTCAGGAGTTCTTAGCTAATCACCATTTGTGAGAAAACAAGTGAATCTGAGTTGCCCAGTTTGAGGATCATCTAACATGCCTTTAATCATCTGTTTGGATTAAAAATAGTTCCAATTAAAAGTGAAAATTTATGCAATTTAGGGGACAGTCCATGACATATTTGTAGACCTGGCCTGGTTTGTTCATTGATACACAATGACTAGTCTAGTTGTGGAGTTAATACATGAAATTTTTACATATCAATTGAGTGTCCTGTCTTATTTAAATATATGTACTATAGTTTATGTATTTCCTGAAATTTTCTTCCCTCGTGCAGTTACACCATAATTCTTTGCTGTTTTCTTGCCCATTGATCTGCCTTAATGTGGGTTCCATCTTATTAGTGAGATTGTGCCATACTTTTGCCTAGAATTCACTCAACAATCTTCCACTTCCCATCCATGTTACAAATGAAAGGATTTTGCTCTTTCATGCCTCAATAATCTCACCTTTGTCAGCTCACCTGTAGATGGACACCTACATAAGTTGCAGTTTTCACTCTGAATACTGCTGTAATAACCGTGCAAATGCAGTTGTCTCTGGCATCCTTAAATTCTTTTAGGTGTATACATAACCAATAATTGGGTTCTGTTTGATTTTTGGAGACAGCATCAGAGTTCTTGCCAACATTTGATATTTGTGTCTTTGGTGATGGACTTTCTAATTGCAGTGCTACCTCATTTTGATTTGCATTTCCCTACAAATAAATAATGATTTACTTCATTTGCTTATTGGCAGTCTTGAGAAGTAGCTACTGAGTAGCTCCACCCATTTTGGGTTTTGGTAGTACTTTTTGTTCCTTAAGACTTATCTACTCTATTCTTTCAAATTTGTAATCCTGCCTCAACCTCCAGAGCCTGGATATTGATGCTATGCACTGCCACCCAATTCTCATTTGCTCTTTGTGTGGGTGTGGTCCTAAGGATTAAACTCAGCCCTCCTGCAAGCTATATCCCTGGGCATTTTTTTTTTGATAGCAAAACATAACTACATTCTAGGCATACATCATAACACATGATAGGGAATTTGTACCTGTACATAATACATCCTGCATCTTTTTTCTCCCCTCAAGCCCCCTTGACCTTTTCTCTGCCTTCCCCCTCCCCACCCCGCCTTGTTCCCATTCCCATTTGAATATTTTCCCAATATCTATTATATGCTGTCCTTATTTCTGATACCAGAGAACTCAGGATATTGTGCATTTTAGACAGATACGGTGCTGCTGAGCTAAATCTGGCCCTGTACTTTTTTCCTTTTTGGGTTTCTCAGAAAATGCTGTATTTAAATGTGTCTGGTTTCACTGAAGAATGTGGTCTCAAGGTCTCATCCATTTAGAAATGTCTCAAGCTCATCCTCCATGGCAGGGTAGTACTCTGTTGTATGAAAAAAAATTCCATTCATCCTTTGATGGGCATTCGGGCTGTTTCCAAGATATAGCTATTGCAAACTGGAGCTATAAACATGAGTGCATGTATATTGATGCTTTTAATTCTTTTGAAGATACTAAGAATAACTGGGTCAAATGGAACCTCTAGTTTTAGTTCTTTGAGAACTCTCCACACTGATTTTCATAATGGTTGCACCAGTCTACACTCCCACCAGCAGTGGAGAAGGGTTCCTTTTTTTTTCCCAACAAACTCACCAGCATTTGTTATTGATTTCTTGATAGCAGCCATTCTTTTTGGAGTGAGATGGAATCTCAGCATTGTTTTAATTTGCTTTTCACGACCAGTGATGAACATTTCTTCATGTATTTGTTTGCTGTTTCTACTTCATCTGAGAAGTGTGAAATGAAAATTTCAGATGCCTGTTTTTGGATTGGGTCTTTAAGGGGGGGGGGGCTCTCTGGGGTTTTTTGAGTTCTTTATATATTCTAGATAGTAGTCCTTTGTCTGATGAATACCTGGTTAAAAAAAATTTTTTTTTAATTTTTTTCCCATCTCGGTTTCTCTTGCTGTGCAAAAGCTTTTTAATAAGATGAGGTCCCAGTTCTTGATTCTTTGTAGTATTTCCTTTGTGGTCTGGGTTTTGTTCATGAAGTCTTGCCTACTCCTATGTCCTCAAGTGTTCTACGTATTTTTTCTTTCTTTTTGAGTGGCAGGGCACTGGGGATCGCACTAGGGACCTTGTGCTGTTGAGGCAGGCAGTGGAACCACTGAGCTAAATCCCCGGGCCCTACATATTTTTTCTTCCAGCAAATTTAGCATTTCCATTTTTATATTTAGGTCTTTGATCAATTTCAATTTTAGGTTAGTGCATGGTGAAAGATATGGACCTAGTTTCAATCTTTGGCATGTGGAAAGGCAGTTTTTCCAGCATCACTTATTATCTTCCAGTGATGATGTTTGACTCCTTTGTCAAAGATAAGGTGGCTTAGGTTTCTGCATCTTCAAGTGTGTACCATGCTGGTTTTTTTCTTTTTTTCTTTTTTTCTTTCTTCCTTTTTTTTTTTTTTTTTTTTTTGCCACTGGGATTGAACTCAGGACTTTGTGCTTGTAAGGCAGGTGGCAGAACCACTGAGCTAAATCCCTGGCCCCAGTACCATGCTGTTTTTATGACAGTAGCTTTATAGTATAATTTCAGGTCAGGGATTGTGATACCCTGTACCTTGCCTTTGTTGCCCAGAATTGCCTTTGCTATTCTAGGACTCCTCTGGTTCCAAATGAATTTTAGGATTTTTTTTTTTCTAATTCTGTGACACGCTGTTGGAGTTTTGTTTGGGATTGCATTAAATCTGTATAACAGTTTTGGAAGTATAGACATTTTTACTATATTGGTTCTTCCTATCCAAGAACAAGGGATAATTTCATTTTCTGAAATCATCTTTGATCTCCTTTTTCAGAGGACTGTAATTTTCAATGTATAGGTCTTTTACTTAGATTGACTCCTGGGTATTTCATTTTTTGGATGCTATTTTGAAAGGGATTATTTCTCTAATTTCTCATTAAGTTTGTTATTCACGTACAGGAAGGCTATTGATTTTTGAGTGTTGACTTTGTATCCAGCTGTGCTACTGGATTTGATTATCAAATCTAGATGTCTTTTAGTGGAGTTTTTGGGGTCTTCTATGTAGAGTATCATGTCATCTGCAAATAATGACAGTTTGACTTCTTCGTTTCCTATCTTTATTCCTTTTATTTCATTCTCTTGTTTAATTGCTCTGGCTAGTGTTTCCAGAACTATATTGAACAAGAGTGGTGACTGGACATCCTTTTTTTGTTCCTGATTTTAGAATGAAACTCAGCCCATTATTTTTAGGCAACATTGCCAAAACTGGGTTCAAATTTGTCATCCTATCACAGCCTCTCAGAGTGATAAGATTATAGGCGTGGCTGGCTGCCCTCTTTGTTTTTGAGACTGGTTCTTGCTATGTCATTCAGTCTGCCCTTGAACTCACACTCATGTACCCTTAGGCTGCCCTTCAACTTCAGCAATCCTGCCTCAGCCTCCTGAATGCTAGGATTACAGGCATGCGCCACTATGCTTGGCCTTCATTTTTAAAATATTAGTATTTTGTCCCAGTGGATCTAGATATTAATCCTTTGAGATTGGGTGATGGGTAAATTGCAGATATTTTCTTTTGTCCTACAGATTGTTCCATTACTTCCATTTCCATTGTGCAGTTTTTTGGCTTGATCTTATTTATTGTTGCCTGTGCCTTCGAGGTCATGTCCCAAACTGCAGTGGTCATTCTAACTTTCTGGAGTATTTTTCTTATTTTCATGTAGTAGTTACATAGCTTAAATTTGTCTTTGATCCTTTTCCTGTACTAGAGGTCAAGTTTCTTCTGCCTGTAGGTAGCCAGTTTTTCCTGACATCACTTAATTGAAGAGACTTGCCCTTCTCCAGTGTATGTTCTTGTTACCTTTGTTGAAAATCAGGTAGCAAATCATACTACAAGTGTATTGCCTCTAGTTTTGGTATGGTGTATATTATGCCTCCAGTTTACTTCTTTTTGCTGTTTAGAGTTTTATGGTTCCATACAAATTGTAGGACTATTTTTCATTCTGTGAATGCTATCATTGGTAAAAATTACTCTGACTAGACTGACTTGTGTAGTGTGAATATTTTAACTTCTTATCCATGAACATGGGATATCTTCTCATTTTGTGTATGTACTCTTCAATATGTTTCATCAGTGTTCTACAATTTTCTTAAATACTTTACCTCTTAAGACAGTTTATTTCTGATTTTTGTAGCTCTTGTGTATCCAATTGCATTCTTTTTATAATGTGCAACTTTACTAAATTCGTTCTAACAATTTTGGGGTAGAATCATTGTTTTCTATGTACTGTGTAAGATCATGTCATGTGCAATAACATTTTGACTACCTCTTTTCCAGTTTGGATGCCCTTTGTTTCTCTTTTGCCTGATCTGCCTTGGACTTCCTACAGTGGTCAAAGTGAGCATTCTTGCTCCCATTTTTAAAGGAAAGCTTTCAGTTTTTCCCCATTAAATGTTAGCTGTTGGTTTATATAGGACCTTCATTATGTTGGTTGAGATAGGGTCTCATTATGTAGTTTAGGGTTGCCTCTAACAGCAGTCTTCTTGCCTCAGCCTTATTGAGGTACTTCTATATCTAATTTGTCTTTTTATCTTTTAATGTGGGATTTAGTTTGCTTTTCTAATTCCTTGAAATAGAATAATAGGGGGTTTATTTGAGAAATTTTTGACTTTGTGTCTGTGTGCTGGGGATTGAACCCCCAAGGTTTCTACATGGTACAGCACACTAGCACAGAGCTATATACCCCCAGCTAAACACCCACCTTTTTTGCTGTAAGCATTGATTGCTATAAACTTCACTTTGAAGAAATTATATGTGTGTCATTGCTAAGACAAGACACCTGACACCCAAACTTAAAGGAGGAAAGGTTTATTTAGCTCACAGTTTGTAGAGGTTTCATAATCAGCTGGCCCCAAGGCAGGGTGGCACAGCAGGCATTGCAGAGGAGAAACAGTTCACGTCAGGCAGAAGGTAGCAAAGCAACAAGGAATATCCCTTGTATCTTATCCCGGCTACTTAGGGTGGGATCAATCCCAGGCTCACACACTCGAGTCCAGCCATCTGAAAAACCCCACCTATGACCCCATAGGCTTTAGGGGGCATCTAGACGCAAACCATAACACTTGGTTTCATCTATCTTTGGTTATTCAAGAGTGAGTTATTTAATTTCAATATAAAGAATCAGGCAGAACACTTGACC